GGGGGGGGGGGGGGGGTGAGATGCAGGGCTCGCGTGAGACGTCGGCTTGCGGAGCGGCGCGCGCACGCACCGTTGTTGAGCTCCTTGTTCTTCATGGCGAGCAGGTCCGCGTCCGAGCTCGGCCGCATGCCCAGCGGGTCGAAGCCGAGGTCGCCCGGGACGTACTCGGGGCGGAGCTGCTGCATACCCTCGCTCGGGGGCATCCAGCCGACGCGGGCGCGCTGGATCTCGGTGAGCATCACGGTGAAGAGCAGGGACGCCATGATGCCCTGCCCGGTCTCAGTCTGCAGCACGGTGTCCAGCTGCCGGGCGGCGGAGCCGCCAATGTCGGGAAAGAGTGGGTGGAAGTTCTCCTGAACGAGGAAACCGAGCGCGGCGACCATCGAGACGCGGCCGTGCGCGAGCTCCGCCTCGCGAAAGCGGAGCACCTCCTCCTTGGTGAGCTCCTCGGTGAGGCCGAGCGGGTCCTGCCGAGAGGAAGTGGGGCTCCGTTTGGCTGGTGAGTTGTGAGGCGGGTCGGAGAGGACGGGAGGAGGGTGTGAGACGGCGAGGGCTGGGCCGCGCGGGTGGATGTTGGAGAGGACGGGCGGGAGGTGTCTTACAGTGAGAGCGTGCGCGAGGGCTGGGGCGGCGAGGCGCACAAAGAAGTCGAGCGGGCCGGTCACGCCGGGCAGTGTCTTGGCGAAGTCGGAGCCGCTCTGCGCGCTCAGGCCCATACTGACGGACGAACGCGTCATGGCCGTCGCGGTGGAGAACGAGAGCGGGAAGGAGGAGAAGGCGAGCGACATGGCGAAGAGGATTGTTCTCGGAGACTACAGGACGGATCGATGAAAGTCCCGGTTCCAAGGGGGTGCCAGCCCAAAAAAGTAAAAACTTCTGGCCGAAGTGTTGCGTCGTGGAGGTTGACGATGCGGCGAGGCTCATGACGTGGTTGAGCGCCTGGTTCACGCCGTGCAGGGCGCCCGCTGTGAGCATCGAGACTTCGTCCACCACGATGATGTCGCGTGTATAGAGCCAGGCCCAGTGAGGCGAGTGCTTCTCGGCATCGATCCTCGAGGTTGTGAAGGAGCCCGTCCGCGTCAGCTTGAAAGCGCTGTGGACCGTGTGGCCGCCGATTAGACGTGCCGCCTTGGCAGTGGAGGCGCACACGAGAACGCGCTTTCCTTGAGAGCGCCACCATTGCACTAGCAGGCGGATGAGCAGGGACTTACCCAGACCGCCTTCGCCGCTGAGAAAGGAGAGCAGCTGCTTGTCTCCCGC